GGTGTGTGTCTGTGTGAGTGAAAGACAGAGAGGGAGAGCGAGCGACAGAAGTTCTGTTATAACCTTCATGTTATGGAGGCTCAGTGTGAGCACTCAGGTCGATCAGAGCCGTATAGTGTGACTCTGCATCGTGACCTATGAACTTCTAACCCCTGTGAGCCAATCGTGCAGTTTGAGCAGCTGAATCGCGCGACTGAAAAGAATCGCAGTGTTTGCCCAGATTAAGTAACTGTTGCTGATTATTTTTCATCCACCACACTGATACCAGGCTGTATTCTGAGTCACGTACCTCGGCCTGATCCTGCTCCCCAGTTGTGCCTTTGTGAACTTTTCCCGTTTCCAAATCTTCAAAGTCACCGTAGAGCTCCTCTATGAGAGAACAGTACTTATGATGCATGGTGACAAACCTGTTCTTAGCTGAACGTCTCTGTAATCAGTCACTGTCACATTACTACTGCACATGACTGACCCGAGGTGTTTTTGACCGACTCTGAACAGTGAACAAAACTCCTCCCCCTCTTACCGTCCTCTTTGAGCAGCGTTGCAGCATCCTGGCCTTCCTCCCACTGACCCGTCACAAAACAATCCCTGATCGAGTTCAACATCTGAAAAAGAAAACAGACCGACTCATTCTAACGTTCTTGACAACATCAGCTGCTCTTGAGTCGAGTTCTGTTGGAAAATACCGGACCTCTTCTAATTCCCAATTGTGGGAAATGTCGGGGTTGAAATGGGAGCAGTCTAAAGCGTTGGCCTGAACTTTTTTGCTTTTCTGAGGGCGATTAACTCGAAACAGTCCGCCAAGCTCCGCCTCTTCCTCCTCCTCAGAATCTTCCGCCTCCACCACTGCAAAACAAGGATCAGCAGCGCTCGTGAAGATCACGTCCTCACGTGTGTGATGTAAACACATCGCTGAGTAGTTATGGAGGACTGATGACCTGCTGTCAACATCACCATGCTGCACAAGGCCAACAGTAACTAATGCTGCAGTGTTGGCATTAATGATCAATGATTAGATATTCATTAATTTAATTTAATCCTGATGTATCCAGTGAAGTGTGAGTTTGTGTACGACAGGTATAACACAAACAAATATTATTGGTTACTGATGAAACAAACAGGATACCTGAACCATAAACCAGCTTCCTCAGGTTGGGGGCAGCTTCCTGATGCCGTAGAAAAGCTGCTGATGCTTTCTGCTGCAGGCCGTCCTTCCACTTGAACGCCCCTACAGACGGATCACAACCAGGAAGGAAAACACTTTGTTTTTTAGCAGAAAATTGAAGATAAACTAAATCTAAGGTCGTGTCCTGAGGACCCGGCCTTCGTGGTCTACGTGGGCCGGGTCCTCACAAGGTCGGGTAGGCCGGAAGTAAACGGCCGT